TTGTCGGGTCTGGACGTGGGGGGCTCTTGGGGTTGGGAATTCAACCTTTCAGAATATTGAGGAAAAGCTTTTAACGATTTGTATGATGTAGGTCTAGGAGTGTATTGTATATGAATTGGGATGAAGTTTTTTTTATGAATATTCGAAAAATGACATGACAATATTTTCCAAGCTTTAGGACTAAAACTTAGTATGGCCATATTTAGTTTTTGCCAGATTATTATTTGCACTTTTAGATTTAAGTCACTAAGAGCATTGCTATATTAAACTGCAATTTCTTTAGAGGTCAGCATTACACAATATGCATGAGTAATTTATACTTGATGTTTTAAAGAGCTCATTGACAAAACTAATGGATGCTAAACCAGTTTCTTACTATTTCTTTCTCCAGTAGAACACCTAATGTACTTGCTTAACCCTTAAACGGAATTGTAACAGATTTGGATTAGGCATCTTGAGTTGAGAGTGCCTGAGTTCATCTTGTCCAGATTGAAATTCTGGAAAATAGAATTCAAAGACAAAACAACTTTTTGTTGCAATGTGTTTATTTTTAAGATTAAAGGTGTTAATTAATTTTTAGTTGTTTATACCAGGTTTGAATCCTGCTGATAATAGGCTCCATCTATAAGTGTTAGCAAAAATAAAAAATTACATATTCATATAACTCAATTTAATTATACATGTGAAATAATTGATTCTCTCTTCATTGGGCATAACTCTTCATTGATTCTCTTAATTATAAAAAATTCCATTTAATTATACGTCGCTAGTACAATGATATACGTAGTATAATTTAAAAGTTAAAATAGTCAAATAGATAAACTTACCTGCTGTGGCGAGTAGGCGGCGTGCGGTGCTGAAGTGCTGAACGGCTGAACAAGACTGTAATGGTGGCGTGCGGAGCCGCGGAGCTGGACTGCTGGCGTGCTGCGGTGGCGGAGCTAGAGGCCTAGACGGAGGTCGCCCTTGGCCCTTGGTCGACGGCTGCGGTGGCTGCTGCCGTGTTGCGGCCTGCGGATTGGGTGACTGCCCTCGACGCAGGGCTTCGTTCAATCGTTCGTTTTGTTGAATCAAGCTCCGGCTTTCTTTATTTTGGAAGGGCTACTCCATAATAGTTGGAAAGTTACTATTAGCCCGGGGCATGTCAAATCTGATCTTGCATTTTTAAAAAACAATTAGTTATCCCCGAATTTTGATCATTCTCACTATATATACCTTTCATTAACATTTGTTAAATTAAATTAAATATCTCTTAAATTCAATGAAAATTATCTATAATATAATAATCTGTAAAGTATAATACATATCATAATTTATTACTACGTATCGTAATTATAAATCATTGTTGTTGATCGTTATTTTACTACTTAACTACCCAATCCTGAAATAACTATTAATGAATTTGATCATTTCATGATCTAAGACAGGCTTGAATTATTGAAAGCTATCAATCTAACACCTAAAATATCAAAGATTTTGATTTATTTAAATTTTTTATTAGCTCTTTAACTAATTTATGATGATTTATCTTCACAAAAGTTTTTATTAGACTAAAAAGTTTTTTAGTTTTATGAAATTAGATGATATTTACTTTTTTAAATTAAAAATATTAAAATTCATGACAATTTATATCTTACTCGTGAATATTTTCTCTTAACTACTCTCAATAAAATTTAGTCCATGGCGGAGTAGCTAAATAGAAAAATAGCAATCAACAACAATGACTTATTATTATGATAACAATTCATGTTTTATTTTAAAAATTAATTTATAGACAATTTTCATTAAATTTAAGAGTTAATGGGCAAAGAATGAGCAAAGAGTGAGAATGATCCAAACTCAGGAGTAACTAATTGGTTGTTGAAAAAGCAAGATTAAATAAATTATTATGATATAACCTCAAGGGGCTAATAGTAATTAATGATCCAAACTCAGGGGTAACTACTTACTAATTTTTTTTGGGCCTTCTTATTTTTGAGACCCTGTGCAATGGGAATGGTTCTCTCCTCATGGGACGGCCCTGCCTAATTAATGACATTACGTGGGTGACACAAGAGAGCTTGTTTGATAACAATGAAATTGGTTGAATCAGCGGATTTTACTCAAACTTATGATGTTTCAACTGAATTGACTGTATTGGCTGATTCTGCTGCAATTTATGAAGTTCCAACTGAATTAGCTGATTCTGCTGATTTATAGGGGGAATATTTAAAATATTTTTCTGAATAAAATAAAGAAAAAATTATATGAAAAAATTATATGAAGTTCCAACTGAACTGCTCGGCAAGGGGGGCCCTTTCAAGCACCTGGATCCCGAACTTCAGGCGATCCTTGGGCTTCAGCTTCTGCAGCTCGGTCGCGAAGACGTCGCCAAATGCCCCCTGGCAGTACCTCTGAGCGGAGATCATAAAATCTCTCGTTTTCTCGTACCCACTCACATCCACACACCATTTGGGAGCGTCGGGCTGGGCCTGCGGAGACAGGGTGGCATTAGAAGCCGAGCCACCCTCAAGGGCTGGAATGGCAGGGACGAGCTTGAAGCCAACCTTCTCAAAGGTGGTAACTTGTCCCTAGCCGCTTCTGCTTGGAGCATGCATAGCCCAGCCTGCGAAAAGAAGCATAAACCTATGAGGAAACGAACGTCCGCCAAAAGATAGAATATCCAAACAAATGTACCGTGGTGTACCTGAAGAGCAGCTGCCAGAGCAGCACTCGTGGCCTCAGAAGACGACCGGGCTGATAACTCCACCCCATCCTGGAGAGCAATTTCCCTCCAGATGTCATCAGCTGGACGCCCGAGAGAGGGCAGTACATCATTCTCGATCAAAGGACCGGAAGAGTCAGCATGATGCCGCTTCCGGCTTTTCTCCTTAGGCTTTTCCCCACCCTTGGAGGGGACGGCCTTCAGGAGCGCCACGAGCTGGGGGCCCGAATCAGCAACAAGGGCCTCGGACCCTTGGGCCATCATAGTGGCAATCAAGTGCTGCTCCGCCTTAGCCGTGCGTCTCTCAGCCTGGGAAGTCGAGGAATTGGTTTCCGAGGCTTGGGCCGCCTTCGCCCTCTCCAATGCAGCATCGACGGCCGTGGCTTTAACTTTCATGTTCCTCAGGAGCTTTTCGTTATTCATCTGCTCGTCGGTGGGGGGAGGACCTGAAACAAAAACACAAGAAGTTAGAACCGGGCGGCGCGAACCATAAAGGCACTCACCTCAAAGAACAGGGCCGCCTAAGGCCCCGAGACGAGCGTGGAGAGGATAGGAAGTCCAGAGACACGGGCAGTACCTATCTCTGCCTCGGCCAGTGCCTTGAAAGTGAGGTAGGCTTCCAGAGGCTAAATGTCGTCCACCAAGATCTTCTTGACTTAAACAAACAGCGGAAGGACGAACCGAAAACCTTGATGGCAGAGGACTTGCAAAACGGCGGAGCTTGAGAGCAAGAAGCGAAAAATCAGAAACCCTAAGCCATTTGGGGGGATCTGAAATTTACAAGGAGAAGCACCGCCTCAAGGAACCAATAGGGAAGCGACACGTGGCGAGGAGCGTATCCCAGGGTACGTGTCACGTGGAGAGGAATAGGCGCAATGATGACTTTTCCTCGGAAATTGCACTGTTTCTGCAGTAGTCGCCACCTAGGTTCCCGTGAACCGCCGCCAACGGTCAACTACAACATCATGTGCGTCCCCCACATTGGCTTGGCGGGGATAACAACGAATCAGGAACGTCTCCGCCAAAGAGGTATACTTCTTTATGTCCCACGCACGCTTAAAGAATCGGCCCATTACTCCCCATCCTAGACGAACGTCTAGTTCTAACGGATTTGCATACCTCGACAGGCGTCAGATCATTGCAAGGGTGGATCATGTCTCACAGGCCCAAAGGCCAGAAAGACAAGCGTTGCCACATGTTACACGCAGCTCAGAGGGATTTAATCCAATGCTACACAAACACATTATACACAAGGGCCAAACTACATACAACCCGCAACCCTTTGCATTATTACCAAGGGCAGACCCCAAGCGTAGGGAGACATTCGTCTCCACAGATTGGGCGGGGAACCCAGATTCTGGTGGGAAGCGCATTTAATGCTGGGGATTTGGTGGTTGGAACATCAGCCATTCACAACTCTCCACGTCGACATAGCCAACTGCCCATTGGTGGTATAAATAGCAGCATTTATTTCATTGTAAGGGATTGACAACTTATCTGCCTTAGCACTCTAACTTACTTTCAGCTCTTAGCACATTATTCGCAGCTCTTCTACCAAGGTGTAAGACGAACGGCCTTCTGCCTTAGCAAGCATATCGTATCAGCCATCAAGGATTCAGGGGTTTATTAGAGATTAATAATATCCGATCTTTTACTTGCTTATCATTTTCTTAGCTCATCTTATTTGCTTGGATCAGTTATTCACTCATACACAAACAATCCACTCGAAATCTTTGGGCTTACATGTTGGACCCAAAGGTTGAAGGAATAAACCTCAACAATATTTAAAACGAGTCTTTACATTAGGGCTGGACTCAGGCCGGTTCGGGCCCGGTTCAGGCCTGGGCGCGGCCGGGCCTCGGGCCAGAAAACTGGGGCCCAAACTGCCGGTGGCCGGTTCCGGGCCAAACCGGGCCGGGCCGATTCCAACCGGTCTATTTTTTTTTTCTTATTTTGGTTCTCCTATTTAACCCCCTACCCCTCCCCCTCAACCCCAAACCACCCCAAACCACCTCAAATGGCCCAAAATACCTAATCCAATCCAAAACTTAAAAATATTTCAAAAAAAAAAAAAATCCGACCCGGACCGGGCCCGAACCGGCCGGGCCGGTTCACCTAAAGCAGGGCCCGAGCCCGGACCGCCCATCACCCGGGCCGGGCCAAACCGAACCGATGGACCCACCGGGCCCCGGGCCGGGTCAAACAGTAACCGGGCCGGTTCCGGGTCGGGCCACCCGGCCCGAGTCCACCCCTACTTTACATATAAGTCTAAATTTTTAATACAACTACCAATCCATTTTGAAAGAGGTCTTTATTGCTTCTCATCCATTTGAAGAGCAAAACACAGTACCAAAGTAAATTGAGAAATACCTACTTAATTATAAGCAATCCATCTACATAATGTGGGGACTGTGCAACACCAAGGCGTTGATAGCATATAACACCAGAGGAAATTTTATTTCATATGGCTTAGAAGCTAAAACTAATTACATACGGAGTATGTGAATAAGCATGCTACTCAAAGACAACAAAATGCTGAAACACGGCACAAGTACTTGGTGATCACACTAAAATCGTCTTTTACCGAAAGAGCTCCAGGTAGGCTGTGCAGCCTGCCGTTCATGACTTCATGCATATACACAAATTTACAAAATGCACACGGCACACCCTGCCAAAAACTTCCCATCTCCCGGAGATTATGCAACACTTTTTCTTGCAAAAAGATAAGGTAAATATAGCGTAGTTAGATATTAAAAACACGAACTGCAATGGTCGGGATGTGTTGCTACTTATTTCTTTTTCTTGAGTTGGCGTAAATGTCTGTTGGAGGTACAATTGACGCCTTGGCTATGAAATGCTTTCAGGACTTGATCTAGCAATAGGATGGAACAAACACTGAATTTGTTCTGTTCTTGCTCTCTGAGGACAGAGGGCAAGATCTTTGTCAACTTGAACCCCTAGTTTTTTTACTTAAGTATCACACCATTTAAATTACAAAAAAATGAAGTTGAATAATACAGAATCAAACTATTGAAGTTGATAGAAGAGCTTCACCACATGTCTAGGCATTAAAATGCTCAGTAATTAAATTAGAGAACTATGAAGCTACAAGGTTAATACATTTGATAAATACTATTCTAATAGAGAATATTTTCCAGATAGCGCGCTCCTCCAAGGACAAGTGGATTTGGATAACTGGCAATCACATCCTGCCAGTTTATCATAGTGACCAATTCCCACTTCATCTTGGGATCAGGTGCACTGTTGAATAAAGAAGAAAATACGCAGCCGAATAAGATTAAATTGATACCTGGAATGAATGCAAACTGCCATAATGGAATGCAGGGCAACCGAGTAATTTGAATGATTTGGGAATCTATAATGATCATACTCAATAGATTCCTGAATTGATCCAAGTAGGAAATATAAGCACCTACTTCAGAGTCATTCCACATATGACACTCAAATGGAAGGTGACTCGGAGTTCGTAACTTTGTGTATATATATCTGTGGAGGCTCTTCACTGTCAAAAGCAAAATGGCAGGTGTTTTGTTAATTAAGTAATTATTTATTGCCTACAAGGAAAATAGACACCTATGTACACAGTTTGAGTGTGGTTCAACATTAGATGACTTTTTATATTAAAATCTTTAGTTTGAGTTATACTAGGCCAAGTGATCACTAACATTTGCCACCCCCAGACAGTCAATCCCAACTGAGTTGAGATAAGGTTTGCCAGAAGAGGACAACAAAGAAAGTAGCATGGTGAGATATTACAGGATAAGGTGCCCGACCTTTCATTGGCTTCTTGGTAAGAGTAACTAGATGCAACTGCTAAAAGCAAACCATCATGGTTGTATGCCAAAGAAGCAATGCTGTTTGGGTGTCTTGGAAGCTGAAAACACACATCAAGGTAATGCAAATATGTGTAAGGATATATACCAATGATAGATATATAAAATCTTATTGTAAAGGGAATCCAAAGAGTTAACATAGCCAGAGAGACACTCATGTTGAATGGTGTTCCAACCACAAATAGAAATAGAAGCACATTATTTTTTAATGCAGATGTAACATTGGTTACTTAGCTTTGAAACGCTAAGTAGCAACTCTTCTGCTTTTGGAGGTTTAGAAAAGCTGCATAACAATGTTAACAGTGCAGCTGTTGTTGTACGAAAAATGTGAAGGAAAAAATATTACTAACAATTCAATATTTCCATAATTTATATCTTCAAAATAACTCCGGAATATCTTTTTGGAGATGGCAAATACTACTACAATTTATCAGTAGTACTTAACCACTTCCACTTTGGTGGAAGTAGATCCAACTCGTGTAATCAAAGAGGGTACCTCAAACAGTCGCTTCTTGTGCCAAGCATCCCATATTATTACATAGCCCTCGTTATCACCAGTTACAAATGAACCACTGCTTCTGAAAGAATAAAAACAGAATATAATCATTTTAATTTCCTTTATTCTGCAATAATAAGTGGATAAGTACCTACAATGGACTAAAAGCAATGTCATTTACTGCCACAGCATAACGTCTACCATCTGTACCCTTTGGATAGCATCGAAATGCGTATCTGCATAACAAAAAAATAAAAGTGAAGAAACAATTTCTTAGAGATCCATTTAACTTAAGGATAACCTGGACCCATTTTTAAAACACCACCACACCTCCAACAAAATAGTTGCACAAAGTAAAATGGTTAGTACAAAGACCCTATACTAACCCCTTATCCATATCTGATTCACAGATATACTCCAAAGCAACACGTCCATCCACTGAGCCAACCACAAACCCTGCATCATGGCATACTCCACTTAATACCTGACAAAATCAACTACTTTTGGGGAAATTTCCTGCAGTAGCCCTCAGGTTTTTAATATTTTTCAAAATGACAAAAGGGGTTACCTCAGGATATTTCACAGGACAACCACAAGATGCTTTAAAGGGTACTTTTGTATAGCTAGAGCTATTTTGAAAAGCGTGCATGGAAGAGGGTCATTTTCAGAAATACCGAAGTGTCATTTACTTTAATTTTCCAATACACGTTAGTCAGATGCAAAAGGTCATATGGTGATCAGAAATTCTTAAGTCAACTCGATGTTCAAACTTCATCTGTCCTGCTACAGAACAATATGTACATGACATACTTTTGATAGCCAAACTAACGTACAATACATGATTAGCCTGACTATCTAAGACTACCAAACTAACTACCTCAATGACCAGTCACTCACGCAGACACACTATTTTGTATGTCAACATTTAAAAAGTCTTACTTGTCTAGACAGTACTAGATTAATGCCACAATACCTTCAGAACTAAGAATATTGCGGACACATTTTATTTTGACATCTTTTCGGTGAACCAGTTTCCTAAGGGTGCGAAGATCATAAATGATTACAGATGAATCAATAGCAACCATCAAACTGGAGTCAGAGAGTGTCATAGACTCTGCCTCTGATGTTAGATTGTTCAAGCATCCTACAGATTTCGCCGTCCGTGCATCCCAGAAGAGTATGTTCCTATCCCAACCAGCAGTAATTAACTGACCTACATGAAGCAACGACCAAACACACCAAAATAGTGTAAACGTAAGTTCTATTAGAACTGTAATGTATCAGTACCATGTACACGCGAGCTCATAAGTGGTGAAGGCGTACATGTTTCAGGAGAAAACTCAACAAAAGTTGCCATATTGTCATGATTCCCTATTGCAGATTTATGTCCTGAATGCATATCATACCTATCAATTTGCCATTACAAACAAGACATCGACTATATCATTTCCATAGTTCGACACAATCAAATAACTGAATTATCGATTGCAAGATATGTGTTTTTTTAAAAAACACAAGTGTTCACTCATCTGAGGCTCATTTGGACCACAATATACATGTAATAGCCGAGTTCAACTAATTGAGTACTTTTTGAGGGAATAGATAATTTAGTATAAACCTGTGAACAGAACCATCAGAAGCTGCACTAAAAGCCACGGAATCACTTTGAAAACAACAATCCAGAAGTGCGGCTTCCCCTGGCGATTCTAGTATTAGCTCAGAGCGTTGAATGTCGTACAAGCGGAGTTTCTACAGGCATTAGAACCATAAAAATGTAATCGCATATGAGTTGCAGCATTCACGGGTGCACGCAGATATTCTTTAAAATGATGATTATTACTTACGCAGTCCCAGGAAGAAATGAGGAGATTGTTGGAATGTGGGGAGAATCGGATCCTGGAAATGGCGTCTCGTATTGGGGTTCTAAGGCTTAGAGGAATCGCGTCCATGGCTGTAGATGACTTTCAAGCAATCCAAGTGGAATGAGTATGAGCCCTAAATTTGGGGCGGGAAAATTAGAAATCACTTGCACAGTTCAAAATCTTGCGGAGTATGAGTGAAAAAAATACGGAGTACTCGGTAATTCCTATTTCCTTTTTTCCTAAGATATTTTCTTTTTGGATTGTTTTTCAGTCCAGACCACACCAGACCGGATTAGATCAGATTAGATCAAAACAGATCAGACCAGTTCAGATCAGATCAAACCAAATCATACCAGACCAGACCAACAAATTTCAATCGAAAAGAAAACATCCATAATTACAATCATATATTTTAATTCCATTTTTTTTAATTTCGGTCCAAGTCAAAGCCATTTTTTTGGACGGAGGGAGTACAATGTATAAGGGCTTATAGCATTTTTTACTTAAATATTTATTCCATTTGTTTTAAAAATTTATTGAATCTATTTCTGTCCCGGACCAAATCAGACTAAGCTTAAATAGACTATACCAAATCAAACTTTGACAGTTGTAAAATACGCAATGACAAGTAAATATATCAGACCAGACTAAATCAGACTGAAAATTTCACTTCAAGTAAAGACATCTTTAATGCTCTATACCCCTCATGATATACAAATTATAAAGCTGGCATTTTGAACTGAAAAAAACCAAAAACGGACCCGAAAAAAACGAACTGACAAAGAAAAAAATTGAACCGAACCGATCCAAAAAAGTTGGGACCCGAAAATTGGTAACCGAGATCTACCTCGGTTCGTTACCGGTTCTTGAAATTCAAAAGGTCGGTTCAACCGAACCGAACCGGTTTTATATAATATAATTAAAATTATTATTTTTTATTAACATTTTCCCAATTAAAGCCCAAATCCCTATATTTAAAAGGCTAAAGGGTCAAATAGGTACATGAACTAACTTAAAGTGTTCAATTAGCCCCTTATATAGGAGGTTCTGCCCGGCCGTCGCCAATTGGGGCGTTTCCCGGTGGAATTTTTTGATGAAATTTTTTGAGCATCTTCTTCATTAAGTCTAGTTTATCCATACCAAATTTCAGCTAAAAATTCAACCGGGAAGGCAGTAAAATGATTTTTTGAAGATAACTGCGCAGGTAAACAACGCAGTACATTTTGGAAAATCATTTGACTGCCTTCCCGATTTAATTTTTAGCTGAAATTTGATATGAGTAAACTAGACTTAATGAAGAAGATGCTCAAAAATTTTCATCAAAAAAATCCACCGGGAACCGCCCCAATTGGCGACGGCCGGGCAGAACCTCCTATATAAGGGGCTAATTGAACACTTTAAGTTAGTTCATGTACCTATTTGACCCTTTAGCCTATTTAAAATACATGATCTAGCCAAAGTTTTACACTAACGTATGAATGTGTAGATGAAAGCAGTGTAATGCGTTGTTGCCTTGCTAATTTTTTATGGCAAAATTGTAACATTAAGAGCATCTCTTAGGTAATAAAAAATAATCATGAATATTAAGACTCTTAATTTCCATGATTATTTTTAAGGACTACAAGTTTTAAATTTAATTACAAGCAACTTTGACTTGTAATTGCTTTTATATCTCCGTGTGATTTTCCTTTTTGTAATGCTTGTTTATTTTGGATGATCCATGGTTTAATTTATGAATTTCATTTTAGTTCCATTTTGTCGGTTTTGGATCCAAAACCGAACCGAAAAATTGGTTCCCAAACAATCGGGTCACAATCTATTTTCGGTTCAGGCTCGATTTTCATTTTCAAGAGAACCGAAATGTCGGTTCGATTTCGATTTTTGCAATTTCGATTCAGGTCCCAAACCGCATTCAGCCCTATTAAATTTCGTGCATTATCCGTGTGATATAAAAAATACGTCCAGTCTCTCTGTGTTATAATTATTTTAAGCAAAACCTTCTGTATGAAAAAAATTAATTGCCAAATAAAACAAAGAAGATTAGTATTTTGTATAATTTAGAGATTTTGGCAAGTTTACTAGTATAATTAATCATCATAATATTGAGATAAGTGACTTTCAAATTATTAAATTTATTCTTGGCGAGGATTTTGCGCATGATTAATTATAATGCACGGGATTTGATGCATTTTTTAATCACAATGTTCTAATGCGCATAATTTATAGAAACAATTACATGTGCGCGGACCCAAGAAATTTATATTGGGAGGCCATAGATTCACTGGTGTATCAAGAAAATTTTCTCATTGGTGGTCAACTTAGACTAAAACTTAGTCACATATTTCAAAAATAGTAAATCACATTATTAATGTTGTTTTATTCAACGTAATTTAAGTTACAAGATAAGATGATAAGTTGGCTAAAACTTGAGCGTGATGTTTCTTTCTCATAAGTAGTGCTTTTAGGTATAAAAAGATAATTGAGCTAAATCTTGAGCCAAAGATTCATTATTTTTGGGCTTGAGAATATGATGGAATAAAACAAAATGGCTCACTAAACTGTCTGCGATTCTTTGTTATGAAGCAGCAGTCAGTCCATGCAATTTTGGACGCCATTTTCACTACGGGTCATCCGGAAACAGTCTCTCTGTGCTTGTACAGGAGTAAGACTGCGTATATCCGACCTCCCTTACCCCACCGTAGGTAAATGAAAATGAAAATGATATGTAGTGATTTTAGTTATAGGATAAACCGACTAAAACTTGAGCGGATTTTTTTTGTCTCTCATACATTGTGATTTTAGGTATAATAAGAAGATAGCCGACTGACAATTGAATGGGAGAATTTTGACTCTCATATGTTGTGCTTTTAGATATAAGATAAGCCGACTAAAATATGAATGAGAAAAATTTCTCTCTCATACATAGTGCTTTTCGGTAAAAGATAAGTCGACTGAAACTTGAGCAGGAGAATCCCCCCCATACGTAGTGTTTTTAGATATAAGAAGATAAGCCAACTAATAATTGAACGCGATAATTTTCTCTCTCATATGTAATGGTTTTAAGTATAAGAAGATAAGTCGACTAACAATTGAGGGGAAATTTTTTAACTCCCATAGTACTTTAAAACCGGTGAACAATTGTGTTGGATGATTTTTTCTCTCATATGTAGCACTTTTAGGTATAAGAAGAAGATAAATCGGCTAACAATTGAGCGGATAATTTTTTCTCTCATATGTAACACTTTTAGGTATAAGAAGATAAAAAGATAAGAAGACCAGCCGGCTAACAATTGATGGGGAAGAATTCGCTCTCTCATACATGGTGATTTTAGATATAATCAAATAAAATAAGTCGGCTAAAAATTGAGTGGAGAAGTTCTCTCTCTCATACGCTGTGATTTTAGGCATAAGATAAGTCGGTTAACAACTGAACGGATGGATTTTCTCTCTCATACGTAGTGATTTTATGTATAAGAAGATAAGTCGACTAAAACTTGAGCAGGCGAATGCTCTCTCTCGTACGCAGTGCTTTTAAATTTAGAATTTTTCTCTCATACATAGTTCTTTAGTTTATATATACGATAAGATAACATGACTAAAACTTTAGCGGGGGGATTTTGTCTCTCGTGCGTAGTGTTGGGTGTGTTTCGGAAAATAAAGAAAATTAATTAAAATAAATTAATTAAAATAAAATGACTAGCGAAAAACAAGAAAGGAGATGAAGCAGAATTAGTCAAAGCTCGTGCTACGCACGATGTCCTTAAAACGTATTTGTTGCCTCCCACGGTGCTAGGAGCGTTGCAACAATCGTTTCCCAGGATACGATGACTACGAACTAATGTTTGAGCACACAAACAAGAGTTCCAGCGAACGAGAACACAGTATGAACACAGAAGGAATTTGCAGATTGCTAGCAGTGTGTTTTTAGAGCTAAAACGTGTATGGATTTGTGTAAAATCGTGTGTTGTAGCAAACCACCTGCCAGCCATTATATAAGAGGATTTGTTGTGTGTAAATGGTGAATTAATGGACCTGAACGTTGGACATCAATGACCAGTCCGTTGGGCATTGAATCGTCCATGAACTGTCTATTTAACGCTGCATTAAAGGATATAAACGTGGGGCATTTATTGCTACCAGAGACCGACGTGTTCTGATGCCACCAGAGACTGAGGTATTCTGATCGAGGCCATCAGAGACCGAGGTGTTCTGATCGAGGCCATCAGAGACCGAGGTATTCTGATCGAGGCCATCAGAGACCGAGGTGTTCTGATGCCACCAGAGACCGAGGTATTCTGATCGAGGCCATCAGAGACCGAGGTGTTCTGATGCCACCAGAGGCCGAGGTCTTCTGCTAGGCACTTTTGTCAACCGGGAAGAAAACAAAAATTATCCGTATCTCTTGAGAGATAGATTTTTGGACGACATTCGTGTCCGCAGGTCGCCCGCGCACGCAAGTCGCAGTTTTTCTTCTCCGAATTCGGGATTTGATTTGCACCCCCCCCCCCCTGCGCGCGTGGAGAGAGCCTTTACCCTTAGGAATCTTAACTCCTTAAGGGGAGAGTCCCTTTATAAAGGGTTGCAAATCCCTTGGGTTTTCCGGTGTGGGAAATTAACACACTAGAAACCCATCCTTTTTCCCAGTTTTTCCATTCTAACGGGTAAACTTCGAAAAGCGATTTCTCATTCACCCGTTATCCGTTTTGAGCGTACCATATATCGAATTGTAGCCCTTAACAAGGACAATCCGAAACCACTTTGACCCGACCCAAATCGGAAGTGGACCCCACTCAGAAAATTGCCCCAAAATAGCCATTTAATGCAATTTTTCACACATTTTTCCAACAATCCCCCACATGAATGAAAATTGATTTTCGAGACTTATAAAAAGACACGAAGATAGGAGGACACGTTGTGTTCACCGGATGATCCTTGTATACGGAGAGGTAGGTTTAATCCTTTGAACCTTCCGCTGTAAAGACTCGTTTATTTACTGGCTGTCTAGTAGACTCGATGTCTTTGAACTATACTGCCGGCGTGTAAACATTGACTTATCTTTACACAAGAACCTTCCAACTTTGTTCCGTTCTCATGGGTGTGCCCGTTTTGGCCATGGGTCACCGTCCTGGTTCTGCAAGAGTTTCTAAAGAACTGAGCCATTACAGTTCTCCTTTGAAGCGGCCCTCTTCTCTCTCACATAGGTGATTCTTTCACGAGTATCCCGCATACTCTTCCAATGTTATCGAGTAGATCAACATTTTAGAATCATTAAAGCAAACGTTTTTGCTAACCTCGTGCGGGAGTCACTGTTTCAATGAGGAGTGGGTAGGAGTCCGGGACCCCCACAGTGACCATCCTTCGCTCTATAATTTGGTTGTCCCATTTGAACCTAGGACCAACTAGGTTGGGTATCCACTATAGAACTTTTCAATTCACGGGCTTTAATCCCATTCCTCGCATCAACTTCTCCAACAATTCTCTATCCAATGCCTTGGTTAGCGGATCCGCTATGTTATCCTTTGACTTCACGTAGTCAACAGTGATAACACCCGTTGTGAGAAGTTGTTTAATGGTATTATGTCTACGACGGACGTGTCTAGACTTACCATTATAGAGATTGCTCTGTGCCCTTCCAATTGCCGCTTGACAATCGCAATGTATGCATATTGGAGGGACAGGCTTCTCCCAACTTGGAATATCCTCGAGAAAATGGTGTAGCCATTCAGCCTCTTCAGTGCACTTATCCAAGGCTATTAGCTCAGATTCCATCGTGGATCTAGCTATTAACGTTTGTTTCGAGGATTTCCACGACACGGCTGCACCTCCCAAAGTGAAAACATATCCACTTGTGGACTTTGAGTCCTTAATGTCAGATATCCAACTAGCGTCGCTATACCCTTCAAGTACAGTTGGATATCTTCCGTAGTGCAGTCCAAGGTTTTGGGTTTTCCGTTGTTAGAATATACATATTTAATGTTAGAATATACATATTTAATAGTCAATATATTCTATGTATATATTTGGTAGCTAATATATTCTCTGCGATAGACTAAATATTCTATGTAAATCTGGCAGATTTAGTTTCCTTTTGTATTCTCTAGCCTGTATGTATATATACTGGCTCTACCCAATGAATAAAAAAAATGTGATTTCATTCCATCTTTTATCCCTATTACTCAGTTTACATGGTATCAGAGCCACACAGGTTTTTCGGGTAGTACTTCCCGAAGTTCGACTCTGTTCCCTCCCTCTGGTTCGATTCAGCCTTCTTTTGTGCAGGACGTTTCTTGCACTTCGCAGGTCTGATTTTCTTTTCTGGACACAATCTGCACCGCATCTCTTGTTATCACTATTGGCCTAGTTGTTTGCAAGCATGGGTGATGATAAGAAGAGTGTGACTGAAATTACGGTCGGTAATGCTAGAATTACCGAGAGAAAACTGACTGGTTGTAAAGATTACGGGCAGTGGAAACGGACTATTACCAGGTATGTTAATAGTCTTGATCTGGGAGATCATCTAAGTGAAATGGCTCCTCCACGAAGTCATCCTGATGAAAGAAAGAAATGGATGATGGCCGATGATAGGTTGTTCAATCAAATTCAGAATACCCTGGATCCTTCTATTGATAGTATCATTACTCACTGTGATACTGTCAAAGAAATGTGGGAATACTTGGAGTCTATGTATGCTAGTAAACAAGATCTCTCTTATGTTCATCAATTACTGATGCACTACTATAGACCAGAGATGAAGGACCAGACGTTGTTTCAATACTACAATGAATGTAAACAGATTTTTGAAGAAAAGCGGTCCCGATTCCCTATTACTGCTGATGTTAAGAGTATGCAAGAACAAGAGGAGCGAACATTTGTTCATGGTGTTTTGGCTGGGCTTGGTCCACAATATGAGGTATCAAGGAGTCAAATACTATCTGGTGGGACCCTTCCTAGTTTTTCTGACCTCTATGGACGTCTCCTTCCAGTGTGCAAAGATGGAGAATCCAGAATGATGAACTCGATTGATACTGCTGCCTTAGTCAGTGATGTGAGCCGTGGTAAAAGGACCAATTCAGTCACTACTGAGGGGACTCATAATTCTTCTCGCACATGTTATCACTGTGGAGCTGAGGGTCATGTGAAGAAGAATTGCTGGAAATTACATGGTCGTCCACAGGCGTCTGGACAGTTTCCTCCCAGGCGTGTTGCTAATACGGCTATCCAGGATGGTATCCTACCAACTCCTTCCACCTTTACTATCTCAGCCGATGAATATGCTCGGCTACTACAACTTTCTCTCACAGCCTCATCTGCCAGACCACAAGTTGATACAGGTAATCCTGCTGCATGCCTCTCTACATCATCACGCAATTGGGTGATCGATTCTGGCGCAACAGATCATATGACTGGTAATGAAAATATTTTGTCTTCATTTACCTCTTCTGCTAACCAGTCTCATGTTACTTTAGCAAATGGATCAACCACATCTGTCAATGGCCTCAGAACAGCAACTCTTTCTCCAAACATTTCTCTATCTTCTGTTTTATATTTATCTCAATTTCCATTTAATCTAATCTCAGTCAGTCAGATTACTAAAGCCCTAAACTGCTGTGTTATTTTCTTTCCCACCCATTGTCTTTTTCAGGATCTTGGGACGAAGCAGATTATTGGTAAAGGCAGACTGGTTAATGGCTTATATGTTTTTGAATCCTTGGTACCAAGATCAGTTGCATGCACAAGTTCGTCTTTGTTGAAAGTTCACTGTCAATTTGGTCATCCATCACTTTCTGTACTACAAAAAATGTGTCCTAGTCTGTCACGGGAGTCTGTTTTGGAGTGTGAAGCATGTCAGTTTGCTAAGCATCACAGAACAACTTTCCGTCCTCGAATAAATAAAAGTGTTGAGTCTAGTTTTGATTTAGTTCACACTGATGTGTGGGGTCCTTGTCCTGTCGTTTCCAAACTTGGTCATCGTTATTTTGTTACATTTGTGGATGATTTTTCACGGGTTACTTGGCTTTATCCTTTGAAATCCCGTTCAGATGTGTTTACTGCATTTTGTACCTTTCATGCTGAAATTCAAACTCAATTTAATAAGAATATACGCATTCTGAGAAGTGATAATGCTAAAGACTATCTATCTAGCACTTTTCAATCTTACTTATCTCGCCATGGGATTTTACACCACACTTCTTGTCCCTATACACCTCAACAAAATGGTGTAGCTGAACGAAAGAATCGTCACCTACTAGAAGTAGCTCGAGCCTTAATATTTCACATGGGGGTTCCTAAACCATTTTGGGTAGACGCTGTTTCCACTGCGTGTTACCTTATCAATCGTATGCCTTCTTCTGTTCTTAATGGTCAGATTCCATATTCCGTTTTATTTCCCTCTCAGTCCTTGTTCTCTCTTGTGCCTCGTGTGTTTGGTTGCACATGCTTTGTCCAGGATATGCGTTCCCAGGTCTCAAAGCTTGATCCTAAATCAATCAAGTGTGTTTTTTTGGGTTATTCCCGATTACAAAAAGGATATCGATGTTATTCTCCTTCCTTGGGACGGTATATTATCTCTGCAGATGTCACATTTTTTGAAGAAACGCCCTTCTTTCAGCATAGTTCATCTTCATCCCCTTCTTTGGAACTCTCTAATGATGAGTTTCTAGTCTATACCACCAGCCAGCTAGAATCGTTCCCCCCCAGTGAGGTTTCCCCATCAACTGTCCTTCCTCCTCCACCTCCTCCCCTTAAAGTTTATTCTCGTCGTGTGCGCCCTGTGACTACGGCACCTACGTTGGCTACCAGTGTACCACCATCTTCTGTTTCGCCTCCAGATTCTGCTCCCTCTGACCTTGATCTCCCAATTGCCCTCCGAAAAGGTACCCGGACTTGTACTTATTCTGTTTCTTCCTTTGTTACTTATGATGCATTGTCACCTTCATCCAAGAGCTTTGTTGCATGTTTAGATTCTATTGTTGTTCCTTCCACTGTTTCTGAGGCCTTGGCTCATCCTGGTTGGCAAGAGGCAATGCGAGAGGAGATGATGGCTCTTGATCAGAACCACACATGGGACCTTATGTATCTTCCACCCAACAAAAAAGCTATTGGGTGTAAATGGGTGTTCACTGTCAAAATGAATCCTGATGGTTCTGTTGCTCGTTTAAAGGCACGGTTAGTAGCTAAGGGTTATGCTCAGACATATGGTATAGATTACTTTGACACTTTCTCTCCTGTTGCCAAACTTACATCCATTCGATTGTTTATGTCTTTGGCTGCTACTTACAATTGGACACTCCATCAACTTGATATTAAAAATGCCTTTTTGAATGGTGACCTTAGTGAGGAAGTATACATGGAGCAACCACCGGGGTTTGTTGCTCAGGGGGAGTTTGGAAAGGTATGTAAATTAAGGAAATCGTTGTATGGTCTGAAACAATCCCCACGAGCTTGGTTTGGCCGTTTCAGTGCAACAATATTTAAATTTGGGCTACGCAGGAGTGCCTATGATCATTCAGTTTTCTTCTCTACCTCCAATTCTGGATGTATTCTATTAGTTGTGTATGTTGATGATATCGTGATCACTGGCAGTGATGCGGGTCGTATTTTGAAACTAAAATCTTTCCTGGCTACTTGCTTTCAGACCAAAGATCTTGGACCCTTGAAGTACTTCTTAGGGATAGAAGTTTCACGTAGTAACAAGGGAACTTACTTGTCTCAAAGAAAATACTGCCTAGATGTTCTAAATGATGCAGGTTTGGTTGAGGCAAAACCTTGTGATGCTCCGATGATCCCAAATGTAAAGTTAACGGCTGATGAAGGTGACTTGCTCGAAAATCCTGAGCTATACCGAAGGATTGTTGGGAAACTGAATTATTTGACTATCACCCGACCTGACATTGCTTTCCCGGTAAGTGTGGTCAGTCAGTTTCTGTCCACTCCACGAACATCACACTGGGATGCAGTTACACATATCCTAAGATACTTGAAGGGGGCTCCAGGGCGTGGGATACTATATCAAAACCACGGACATCATGTTATTGAAGGGTTTACTGATGCGGACTATGCTGGAAACCCTAATGACCGACATTCCACCACTGGTTACTGTGTGTTTGTTGGAGGAAACCTTGTATCTTGGAAGAGTAAGAAGCAAAATGTTGTCTCTAGATCAAGTGCAGAATCTGAATACCGAGCTATGGCACAGACGACATGTGAGCTGGTTTGGCTTCGGCATTTGCTTGGTGAACTTGGATTTGCTCAAACAGAACCAATGAGATTATGGTGTGATAACCAAGCAGCTATCCATATTGCAAATAATCCTGTTTTTCATGAAAGAACAAAGCATATCGAAGTTGATTGTCACTTTACTCGAGAAAAGGTGGAAGATGGTACAATTTGCACTCCACACATCAAAACAGGAAATCAAGTGGCAGATGTGTTTACCAAGGCTCTACCGGGGACACGTATCAATTCCATCTGTACCAAGCTGGGCATGATTAATATCTATGCTCCAGCTTGAGGGGGAGTGTTAGAATATACATATTTAATGTTAGAATATACATATTTAATAGTCAATATATTCTATGTATATATTTGGTAGCTAATATATTCTCTGCGATAGACTAAATATTCTATGTAAATCTGGCAGATTTAGTTTTCTTTTGTATTCTCTAGCCTGTATGTATATATACTGGCTCTACCCAATGAATAAAAAAAATGTGATTTCATTCCATCTTTTATCCCTATTACTCAGTTTACATCCGTAAATACCTCAAAACTCTTATTATTGCCTTCCAGTGTTCATCACCGGGGTTGCTAGTATATCTACTAAGCTTACTAACCACAAAGGCAATATCAGGCCGGGTACAACTCATTAGATACATTAAACTGCCAATAATCCTAGCGTATTCTACTTGAGAAATACACTCTCCACGATTTTTGGTCAGGTGTACGTTTTTATCTAATGGCGTCCTTGCCTCTTGATAATCATCCTTATTAAATTTAGTAAGGATTTTATCAACGTAATGAGATTGGCTTAGCGTCAGACCGTCAGGTCCTCTAATTATTTTAATCCCAAGGATTAAATCGGCCAGCCCCATATCCTTCATGTCAAATTTAGAATTTAGCATGTTTTTGGTAGAATTAATCATTAGATTATTGCTACCCACGATGAGTATATCATCCACGTATAAACATAAAATGACATAGCCGTCTACCGTGCTTTTCACATAGACGCATTTGTCACTTTCATTTATTTTAAACCCATTAATTAACATTGCATGATCGAACTTTTTGTGCCACTGTTTAGGGGCTTGTTTCAATCCGTACAATGATTTAATTAATTTACAAACCTTCTTTTCTTGGCCTGGAACACGAAAACCCTCAGGTTGTTCCATATAGATTTCTTCGTCTATATCGCCGTTTAGAAAAGCGGTTTTTACGTCCATTTGATGAACTTCCAAATTCCGCAAAGCGGCAATTGCCAGTATCATCCTAATGGAATTTATTCTCGTCACAGGAGAATACGTGTCAAAGTAATCATGGCCTTCACATTGCTTGTATCCCTTGATTACAAGTCTGGCCTTATACTTATCAATGGAACCGTCAGGTTTCATTTTACGTTTAAAAATCCACTTGGATCCCAAAGGTTTACATCCCGAAGGGAGATCAACCAATTCCCACGTGTGATTTTTTAGGATAGAGTCCACCTCACTTTTGATGGCTTCTTTCCACATTGGTCCTTCGGTAGACGTTACGGCTTCCGTATAAGTCCGTGGCTCATTTTCTACCAAACATGTTAGAAAATCCGGTTCATTTTCTACCATACAAGTTAGAATATTCGAATCGAATTCTACCAAGTATGTGAGAAAATCCGGTCTGAAGGATTTTTCAACTCTAGCACGTTTGCTACGTCGGGGTTCGGGTTCTTCACCGGATCCCTCGCTAGTATTTTCCATAGCTACGTTAAATGTTCGTTTTGACGTGCTAGGTCCATCGTTGGACTTGCATGGAAATACGTCTTCAAAGAATGATGCATTCCTTGACTCAATTGTTGTGTTTTTATGTACGTCCGGATTATTCGAATCGTACACTAAAAACCGATAAGCACTACTATTTTGTGCATATCCAATAAAAATACAGTCCACCGTTTTTGGACCTATTTTTATTTTCTTAGGTGTCTGTACAAGCACCTTATCAAGACACCCCCACACTTTCAAATATTGATAAGAAGGCCGTCTGCCTTTCCACAACTCGTACGGAGTTTTATCATATTTTTTCCGGGGAACCTTATTTAAAAGGTAATTGCTTGTCAAGATTGCTTCGCCCCACATATTTTGTGGCAAGCCCGAACTTACTAGCACCGCATTCATCATATCTTTCAATGTGCGATCCTTTCGTTCGGCAACACCGTTTGATTGAGGTGAATAGGGTGCGGTACGTTCATGTACTATACCCACACTAACACAAAAGTCACCAATTGGTGCTTCATACTCACCACCTCGATCACTCCTAACCGTTTTAATCCGTCGATTAAGTTGGTTTTCCACTTCATTCTTATAAAGAATGAATTTATCGATTGCTTCGTGTTTATTTTTCAACAAATAAACATAGCTATAGCGAGTGCTATCATCGATAAAAGTAATAAAATATTTATTACCGCCACGTGTTTGTATTGATTTAAAATCACAAACGTCACTATGAATTAATTCTAGTGGTTCCGTTTTTCTTTCAACCGATTTGAAAGACGTTTTCGTTAGTTTTGCCTCAACACAAATATCACATTTGTGCTTCACATCAATTGTGAATTTAGGAATGTGTTCCATGTTAATTAATCTACGTATAGAATTAAAATTAACATGTCCTAGTCTACCATGCCACACATTGGAAGACTCAAGCAAGTAAGCAGAAGAGACTTTATTATTATTTTTAATAATAGTCATTACATTGAGCTTAAACAGCCCATCACATGCATATCCCTTGCCCACATACATTCCCGACTTGGACAAAACTAATTTGTCCGACTCAAAAACCATGCGGAAGCCGTGTTTGTTCAACAACGAACCGGAAATCAGGTTTTTACGTATTTCCGGAACGAACAAAACTTGGTTTAGAGTCAGCTCCTTGCCCGAAGTCATCTTCAGGACCACCTTGCCCACGCCTTCCACCGCGGAATGAGCCGAGTTTCCCATCCACACCTTCTCACCATTTGATGGCTCAAAAGTAGTGAATAACTCCCGGTTTGAGCAAATATGCCGGGTAGCACCGGTGTCCACAAACCACTCCTTGGAATTGGATCCAATGAGGTTGACTTCCGTCACCACAGCCGCTAGGATGATGTCTTCATCCTTTTGCCCACCTTGCACCAAGTTGACGTGAGAATCTTTCTTTCTCTTTGGTGCCTTGCAATCCGAGGACTTGTGTCCATTCTTGTTGCAATTGAAGCATTTTCCATTGAACTTTGTCTTGGAAACGCCTCCCTTCGGACCGAGCTTGCTCTTCCCATTATTTTTGTTTTTGGAGCTTTTTGCATGCTCCACCACGTTGGCCTTGGCGCCGTGAACAATTGGGAGTTTCCCGTCGTTCTTCCGGTTATCCTCTTCAATCCGCAGACGGAGGATGAATTGCTCCAAGTTCATTTCCTTTCGCTTATGCTTAAGGTAGTTCTTGAAATCCTTCCAAGCCGGCGGCAACAAATGAATAATTGACGCCACTTGGAACGACTCACTAACTGTCATTCCTTCATCTCGAATTTCGTTGAAGATCATTTGCATCTCCTCAACTTGACTCAAGACCGTCTTCGAATCCACCATTTTAAAATCAAGGAATCGACCAACAACAAATTTCTTTGCGCCGGCATCCTCGCTTTTATATTTGTGGTCCAAAGCATTCCATAGCTCCTTAGCCGTAGCTAATTTGCTATAAACGTCGTACAAAGCATCGTGCAGCCCGTTCAACACATAGTTTCGGCAAAGGAAGTCAGAATGCTTCCAAGCCTCAACCGCGTTGAGAGATTGCACATCTACCTCACTCCCGGTTACAACCGGCGCGTCCTCGGTCAAGAAACGTGCAAGACCGAGAGTAGTGAGATAGAAGAGCATCTTTTGCTGCCACCTCTTGAAGTTTAACCCGTTAAATTTTTCGGGTTTCTCCACAGAGTTGCTTGGCACGGTCACCATAGGGATAACCCTTTGGTTGGCCAAAAAAGATGCACCGCGTTGTGAACTATTGTTCACCGGAGCTCCGCTTTCAGAGTGATTGTCGTTCAGAACATTCTGCCCAACACCAATCTCGTTTTCTTGAGAAGTCATTTTCGATTTCTTAACGTTTTTCCAAAACACAAAAAGGATTTAAGTTCGTTCACAGAAGTGACAAACTACAGTTGAAGAATGTATCCGTATGATACAAACTTAGCAACACAACTACGTTTTAAGATTGTACCCGTATGGTACAAGCTTAAGCAAACAAATACGTTTTAAGATTGTTGGATGTGTTTCGGAAAATAAAGAAAATTAATTAAAATAAATTAATTAAAATAAAATGACTAGCGAAAAACAAGAAAGGAGATGCAACAGAATTAGTCAAAGCTCGTGCTACGCACGATGTCCTTAAAACGTATTTGTTGCCTCCCACGGTACTAGGAGCGTTGCAACAATCGTTTCCCAGGATACGATGACTACGAACTAATGTTTGAGCACACAAACAAGAGTTCCAGCGAACGAGAACACAGTATGAACACAGAAGGAATTTGCAGATTGCTAGCAGTGTGTTTTTAGAGCTAAAACGTGTATGGATTTGTGTAAAATCGTGTGTTGTTGCAAACCACCTGCCAGCCATTATATAGGAGGATTTGTTGTGTGTAAATGGTGAATTAATGGACCTGAACGTTGGACATCAATGACCAGTCCGTTGGGCATTGAATCGTCCATGAACTGTCCATTTAACGCTGCATTAAAGGATATAAACATTGGGCATTTATTGCTACCAGAGACCGACGTGTTCTGATGCCACCAGAGACCGAGGTATTCTGATCGAGGTCATCAGAGACCGAGGTGTTCTGATGCCACCAGAGACCGAGGTATTCTGATCGAGGCCATTAGAGACCGAGGTGTTCTGATGCCACCAGAGACCGAGGTGTTCTGATGCCACCAGAGACCGAGGTGTTTTGATGCCACCAGAGGCCGAGGTCTTCTGCTAGGCACTTTTGTGAACCGGGAAAAATAAACGTTTCGGGAAGAAAACAAAAATTATCCGTATCTCTTGAGAGATAGATTTTTGGACGACATTCGTGTCCGCAGGTCGCCCGCGCACGCAAGTCGCGGTTTTTCTTCTCCGAATTCGGGATTTGATTTGCACCCCCCCCTGCGCGCGTGGAGAGAGCCTTTACCCTTAGGAATCTTAACTCCTTAAGGGGAGAGTCCCTTTATAAAGGGTTGCAAATCCCTTGGGGTTTTCCGGTGTGGGAAATTAACACACTAGAAACCCATCCTTTTTCCCAGTTTTTCCATTCTAACGGGTAAACTTCGAAAAGCGATTTCTCATTCACCCGTTATCCGTTTTGAGCGTACCATATATCGAATTGTAGCCCTTAACAAGGACAATCCGAAACCACTTTGACCCGACCCAAATCGGAAGTGGACCCCACTCAGAAAATTGCCCCAAAATAGCCATTTAATGCAATTTTTCACACATTTTTCCAACACGTAGTGCTTATAGATATAGGATAAACCGACAAACTGTTGGTCCCGTTTAAGTGTGAAACAGTCTAGAGGGGGGGGGGGGGTGAATAGATTGTTTTGCTTTTCAAACTTTCTCTAAGTCAAAACTGACTTATGAGAGATGGTCTGAATCTGGTGACAGAGAAAGGTCGAGTTCTGATGGCAGAACTGGACCTGGCAACGGATTAGAGTTCTGTCTGGGTAGCCTCAAGAGAACACTAAGACAAATGCCTTTCTGATGACTCTTAGAACAAGATCTGCTGAACACAGATTCCAAGTTCTTTAGAGTTATACAGTTAAAGTCTTAAGTGCAAGAATTAAAAGCAGTAAAGTAAATGACACCGGGGATTTTTTTAGTGGTTCAAGGAACAACGCGTTCCTCTAGTCCACTGTTCCACTAAGCTTGTAAAACGACAGTTACAACGCCGTAGTCCCTAGAACTTAAGAAGCTCTCCACGTCTTCTTCAAGCCTAGTTGTCACCCGGGATGCAGTCCTGCTTCTTGATGGCTGGTCCTTTCACTGAGCTCCCCGGAAGTACACCCACTTCACTACTCCAGTTAATTGGACGTCCTTCTTTGCAGAAGATGTTTAAAAAAAACAGAGTTTTTCTCCAACTTGCTTCGTCACAAAAGATGTGTTGATGAAGTGCTTGAAGTTGTTGAAGAACAGTAGGAACTTTGCTCTTGTTGGTGATGAAGAGTATATGAACTGAAGATCTTCCCCACGTTGGCTTTTCTTGTTGATGGAGTTAGAATTTGAATCTCAAGAAAGTGTTTAGCAAAGATTGTAGCAAAGTTGTCCGGTTGTTCTTCATCGAGTATCTTTTATACTGGGGTTGTCTTCCCGTTGGAGGAGGAGACAACTGCATTAAATGCGCGTACTGCGGAGTTGACCGGTTGGACCCGCAAATTTGGCAGGTTTCTATTTTTGTATAATATTCTCCAGGAATCTCAGTCAATCATCTGCAATTACTCCACAGCGTATCAGGCTCATTAAATGAGCATTAAATGCTTTCCTTTTGTGAAATATCTTCTAGCCGTTAGGGAAATTCCCGTTAGTTACACGGCCGTTGAAAGGTAGCATCGAATTCTTCTAAGTGTTTGACGTCTGATGAGACTCTCTGATTAGCAATTCTCAAGTCGAGCTCTGATGGTTCTCTGGTAGCTATATGAGGGCAGCTCTGGTAACAGCTCTGATGATTTCTCTGAACAGCAGCTCTGCAGCCAACTCTGATAGCTAGTCAAAGGAGCAACTCAGCTAGCACTTCTCATAGAGCAGTTCTCCTAGCAGCTCTGATGCTTCTCTGAAGAACAACTCTCATAGATTATCAGATGTGCAGCTTTGCTAGCATCTCTCATAGAGCAGTTCTCCTAGCAACTCTGATCAGAAGTACCAAGAGGATCTCTGACCCGTCGACTATGCTAATACTTACAAAGAAAAATTCTAATACAAAAATTCTATAAGGGGTACTTTAAGATTCTAATCTATCCTAGCATCATCAAAATCTAAGTACAATTATTCCTTACACAAACAATTGTGCGAGAAAATTTTCTTTGTAGTGCTTTTCGGTATAGGAAAGAATATGAGTCGGCTAACAATTTAACGGGAAAATTTTCTATATCATACGTAATGCTTTTAAGCATAAGAAGATAAACCGACTAAAAATTGAGCGGATGGATATTTCTTTGAAATAATGGCAAGAATAACACTATTGGACTTCCGTTAGACAAAAATAGGACTAACTCTTAATCTAGACAAAAAAGAGATTAATTAAATCTGAACGGACAAATACACCCTCACATAAATACAAAATAGAACCCGAATCCCTAATCTTCTTTCCTTCTTCATCGTGCCTCCCTCGGTTGCAGCCAAAGAGAAATCTGCCACAGCATTCCTTCTTCTTCGTACCTTGTCTGCTGCAACCAAAGGAAAATCCGCCACACCACAATCGATGGTCAATAACATCGCTGCCTCCAAGGCCATTATCGCCGCCGCCAAGGCCATTATCGCCGCCGCCAAGGCCATCATCGCCGCCGCTAAGGCCATTATCGCCGCCGTTGGTTGCTAATCGAACGATTGGATCTACTCTTCCTCGTGTTCTTCTCCTTTCTTCTACCGGACGATTTGCAATCCTTCAATCGATCGGTGAGGGCTGTCGGGCGACAGTTAGATGTAGCGACGAGGAAAGTGGTTGGGGATGGTGGCTTGGCTAGTGCAGAAACTTGGAGATGCGGAAGGGGTGATGGCAGCTGCGTGCCCGGTGGGATATCGGGGCCAGGGGAAGGGGCTGGGTTGGTTGGGATCGGAGGGGGGTTGGTGGTGGGCTGGAGAGGGACTGAGGGTGGCAGGGGTGGGAAGTGTTGTTAGATACAGACTCTGCAGGCGTTGGGGGTGGCCGGCAGGCGGTGGTGGGGGATTGGGGATGGGGGAGAGGCTAGAGAGAGGGTTGGGGTTGGTGCTTGAGACAGGTTAGGTAGCTGGTCACAGGAGATGACATGGGCGGGGTGGTCACCATGGCGTTTGGTCACTGTTGGTTCGCGGCAGGGAACCGGCGGCGGCGGTGAACCGGGGCACAGTGGCTAGTGTGGTGCCCGACGTCGGCTGGTGTTGAAAATTTTGTCACCGACGGTTGTTGGACGAGTGTAACTGTAACTGCTTAGCGGTGGTCATTGGACGGTGGTCACTGAACAAGAGTCACTGTTGGAATTGGTCACTGGGCGGGACTCATAACTTATCAAAGTTTTTGCTAGAGCGTTAGTAACTGGGATGATAGTCACTGAAGCGGTAGTAACTGGGACGGTGATCAGCGATGGTAACTGGGACAGTGATTGAAGTGGTAGTATCTGAAACGGTGGTCACTGAAACAGTAGTAACTGAGACGATGTAACTGAAGCATTAATAATACGGAGTAATTGAAGCGATAGTAACTGAAACGATAGTAACTGGAGAGTTGGTCACTAGAACATTTGTTATGCAATTTTCATACCTTAATACGGAGTATTATCTCCATAAATAATATTAAAATAAAAAGACATTAATTGTCAGACTTGATACTAGGTAAAAAACAGTTGCCAGAGGTTCAATGTTACGGATTGTTAGTGTGAAAAAACGAAAACATTAATGTGAGAGTGCATTGCTACGGCTTAGTGTCTTACGGACTTGATTATTATTTAGTGACGTACGGTGCAGTGAAAAATTAGGGAGGGAGGGCAAATTAGTAAAGAAATTGATAATTATTCACATTTTCGGAAATTAAGTAAAAAGGTCTCTTTTTTGTCTGTTGTCTATTTTTTAGTAATATGTATGTCAAAATCCCTATTTCTTTCTCATACGTATTGCTTAAAGGTATAAATGAGAATAAGCCAACTAACAATTGAACGAGAAACTTTTCTTTCTCATACGTTAGAGCCCGTTTGGTAGCACGAAAATCGGCTGTTTTGGCCGATTCTGCTGAAATTTATGAAGTTCTGGCTGATTCTGCTGATTTAAGAAAACATTATCTTTAGAATATATTTTATTAAATAAAATAAAGAAAAAAAATATGTAAAAATAGCTAAAAATGGTCATCTACTAAAGTAACTTCAGCCAATACAGCCAGAAAAGTAACTCCAGCCTTACTTTTTCTGCTTATTACACAATTCAGCGCGTGAAAGCAAAAATTACGTGAATGATGATAAAGCTGGCTAAAAAGTCTGATAAGCTGAAAACAGTGTTGCCAAATGGCCTCATAGTGCTTTTACGTATAAGATAAGCCCACTACACTAATATTTGAGCGAAAGAATTTTCCCTGCCATACATAACGCTTTTACTTATAAAATAAAATAAATAATTGTCACCACTTTTACGTATAAAATAAAATAATAGATAAGTTTTATATATACTATATATTTGTAACTGTCACCAAACATCACTGAAATTTGGTATGAGTAAACTAGACTTGATGAATAAGATGCTCAAAACTTTTCATCAAAAAAATTCCACTGGGAACCGCCCCAAAATCGCAACGGCCCGGACAAAAACCTCCTATATAAGGACTTATTTGACCTTTCTATGAAAGTTCTGAGGACCTATTTGATAGTTTTCACAACTATAAAAACACCAACTGTTTTGGGACTTATTCATATATTATGAAGATAATAGTATAACAGTCTTCAACAATTTAGGTTCAAACTTCAGAGTGACACTGAAGTGATCTACTTGTTGAGATCCTTGAAATCACAAATATGCTCCTTCCCCATGGCCCCATGGCAGACATGACGGACACAATAATGTCCTTGCCAGCTTCGAATGTGCTCTTTATCTGAGCACACAGCGCTTCATCAGTTGGAAGCATGAGATCATCCTTAATGTTACCTTTGTCATCAAGCAGGCTTACAAATCCATCTTCAGAAATGTCAATGAGCTGGTAATCTGCGCGGTTCACATGGGGAGCATCACAGTATGTGAAGATGGAACAATATCCTCGAGCTTCTTTTCAGTGAAAATGTCAATTGCAACAAAATGACATTTAGCATGGCCATGCTTTCCTGTCTTGGATGTTGAAACTTCCACTACCTTGCAAGGACGGTTTTTAATGACAATGTAATCGTTTTTGCGGATAGTACCAGCCTGCTGAGGGTATGGTCTTGGAAGCTCCGGCGTCGGCCTTAGACTCGAACTGGTGTTCTCGCCCGACATGGTCACCGCCGTCTCCGAAGTGTCTGACCCGGCGAGTTTTCCGAGATAAGAGGTCGTAGGCGAATGAAGCAGTCAGAAGCCTCTTTGTACTAATATTGTGTACAAATGTAGAGCCCATTTGGTGACCCTGTTTTCCCGCTTATCACGTTGTGTTCGACCCGGCTTATCAACCATTTTTTTCACTAAACACATAACTTTTGATTTCTCGCGTTGAATTGTGTAATAATAAGAAAAAATAAGGCTGCAATTACTTTCCTGTTTGTATTGGATGAAATTACTGTAGATGATTATTTTAGCCGTTTTTTTCATATAATTTGTTGAGGTTTAGTCCCGTAGATCCGGAAGCCCAACATAAACTCCGGATATTGAGGACGATGGATTCGGTATAAAAGTGAATAATAAATATAAAAGTGTGTATGAATTAGCTATTTTTACGTGGAAACCCGGAAAGGGAGAAAACCACGGGACTTTTTAGGCTAACGTCCAAGCCCGCTCTTTCTCATTAATATGCTCCCATCACTCCTTTACATAATACAAAAGTTGAAGTCTCCATTAATGGAGTTTGTGAGGCTAACTATCAAAGAGGAAGAAGAAAAGTAATACATGGAGAAGGAGAGCCAGAAGAGAGATCCTTTCATCAGGAAGCCAACCTTCCTATTTATAGATGGGGGAGGGAGTAAGGGTTTTCTCCATGGGCCAATGGGCCCTTGTTGGGCCGGAATGGGCCGAGTAGGTCCCAACGGGCCGGTTGGCCTAAATGATCCTTGCTAACTGGGCCCTGTACCGGGGCGGTGTAATTGGGCCTCTAAACAGTAGTAGGCCGGGGTAATATACCCAACACAAGTCCCCCAGTTTCTTGAGTAGTGAGCCTGCAAATCTACTCGAGAAAGTATAATCCTGCTCACGTCCTTCCCTGCCTTCCCTGAATCAGAGTCTTGGAATAATCTCGGACGCAAAGGCATGCATAAGCCCTAAGTGAGGTGCAATCCCGCACTAGACACGACGGCGCTGAAAAGCCAGTCGTTCGTGCTGTATAAAGCGGCAGTCCCGACCCTGAATGGCATGGGTGGACCCGACCGAGAAGAAGGCACGACGGCGCTGTAGAGCCAGCCGTTCGTGCTGCATAAAAGCGTGACGATCGCCATCCCAGAGCAAGGATAGACGAGCCCGTCAGAAAACTAGGGGACGACGGTGCTGTGGAGCCCGTACGTGCTGTATAAGAGCGACGGTTGCCATCCTATAGCAAGGATGGACGAGCCCGCCAGAAAGCCTGGCACGACGGTGCTGTGGAGACCGTGCGTGCAGCATAAGAGCGACGGTTGCCATCCCAGAGCAAGGATGGACGAGCCCGCCAGATAAAGCCAGGCACGACGGTGCTGTGGAGCCCGTTCGTGCTGCATAAGAGCGACGGTTGCCATCCCAGAGCAAGGATGGACGAGCCCGCCAAAAAGCCTAGGCACGACGGTGCTGTGGAGCCCGAACGTGCTGCATAAGAGCGACGGTTGCCATCCCAGAGCAAGGATGGACGAGCCCGCCAGAAAACTAGGCACGACGGTTGCTGTGGAGCCCGTACGTGCTGTATAAGAGCGACGGTTGCCATCCCAGAGCAAGGATGGACGAGCCCGCCAGAAAACTAGGCACGACGGTGCTGTGGAGCCCGTACGTGCTGTATAAGAGCGACGGTTGCCATCCTATAGCAAGGATGGACGAGCCCGCCAGAAAGCCTGGCACGACGGTGCTGTGGAGACGTGCGTGCAGCATAAGAGCGACGGTTGCCATCCCAGAGCAAGGATGGACGAGCCCGCCAGAAAGCCAGGCACGACGGTGCTGTGGAGCCCGAACGTGCTGCATAAAATAAGCGATCGTCATCCTAGATTAAGGATGGACCAACATGACTCGGACAGACATGGACTTGACTCGACTCAGACAGACCTGGACTTGACTCAGACGGACATGGACTTGACTCGACTCAGACAGACCTGGACTTGACTCGAGACCACTGCGGGCCATCATGAATTCACATCACCTCCCAGCCAATTATATCCCCCGTTCGCTCGCCTTCGGCCGAACGGGTCGTTCTCCCCCTGGTCGTTCCAAACAATAGTTCCATTCGCCCGTTCGTCCTACTAGAACGGTCTGATGTACAACGATGATCACATCGTGCCGAGGGTGGCTGATCGTAGAGCTACAGAAGCGGTCAGATCATCTGGATAATAGGTAATTTCTGCTACAAGTCAGCACCAGGGTTAAGGTGCAAGCTGTTCGGCTTATTTCCGCCATTTGTTCGTTAGTTTCCTGATCCGCAAGGCATCACCTCTTGCTGCCTGCTGCCTTGTAGGCCCAAGGCTGATGTAACTTGTTCGTGTTATCATCCGTGTTCTTCCTGATCCGCAAGGCAATCACCTCTTGCTGCAAGACAGTTTCACAATTCGTGTAGTGTCTGCCATCTTCCAAGCCCATAATTTCGATGCATACCGTCGGTTTTACCATCCGGGGTCATCCATATCATGAGGTTGAGATGTCCATCCTGGACCATTGAGAATAAGGCTCCCAATTCGGGTCTCCCCCTTATTCTCTGCCAAAAATGGAGACTCGCCTCCAGGATACAGCTCGGGTTCCAACATCATAAGGTTCGGGCGAGCTGTATGGCCAAGGCAAGATTTTAAGACCAGAGTCCCGATCCCCCGCTCGGTCACCCTATGACTTCGGATGCCGCCCGGTTCGTCCTACTCAAGATCTTTTACACCATCTCCCAAGCTGAGTCCGGGCTTGGTTAACCTGCATCTTTTTTTTTTCTTTTTTTTTTTTTGTGCTGAGATGGTGGCTCCCCATGGATCGAGACAAGTGGTATCTATCGATCGAGGTGAGACTTTATGGAATGTGAAGATGCTTCCTAAGCAAATAATGTCGTGTCGTGGGGCTGATCATGATATGAGGAACATCAATAAATCCAAGGGTCTTGCGAGCGCCCTCTGCTCAAGGACAGCGGCAGCAACTGCGGCAGCGATCCACAAAATGTAGCCAACCTGAAAATCAAGCAGCGGTCCTTATCCGCGCAGTGCGGGGACGAGGCCGGTCTTCAAATATGATAATGGCACCGTACAGAGGGTCGGTGGCCATGTAATGAGGTCACCACTGGAGGCCGATCGGAAAGGAACAAGCAACGGTCCTTATCTGCGCAGTGCCGGGGACAAGGCCGGTCTTCAAATATGATAATGGCACTGTACCAGAGGGTCGGTGGCCATGTAATGATGTCGGCGTTGGGGGCCGATCAGAAATAAATAATCAACAGTTCTCATCCGTGAGGAGCGGAGATGAGGCCGGTCTTCCAAATGATCACCATGCCCGAGCCAGGAGAGTCGGTCGTGGTGCCAGAAAATTCGGCGCTGGGAGGCCGATCTGTAAATCCGAGGGTCTTACAGGCGCCCTCAGCCCATAATGTTGCTCTAGGTGCCGAACGGCGGAGGCCGGATTGCCAGTCAGGTAGCGTAACCTGAAAGCTCGTGTATCGTACAGTCCATATGACTTCCCTTCATGTGTTGTGACATCTATACATTTGTAGTCCCTACTTTTCTCAATCGTCCGTGATTCTCTCTCTCTCATCTCTCTCTCTCTCTCTCTCTCTCTCTCTCTCTCTCT